CAAGCCCAGAGATAGTATGTCACTTGCCCAAAGACACACAGCCAGTAAGTGATGGAGCCGGGATTTGAACCCAGGTAGTCTGATTTTCCCCTAGAGTGAGGACCACATTCTTAACCACTCCCTTAGTTCTTATGTAGCAGTCAGGGGCGACAGCGGATATGTCAGGGGATTTGGCATTCTTCACGATGCATTAACTTGCCTGCCCCATTTTGCCTTCCCCGCAACCCTGTGAGGTAACCAGAGCAAGTCTGTGGCCTTCCTTTTAATCCATGTGGCTCAGAGAAATGAAGTGACTAATTGAAGGTCGTAAAGCAGCCTGGGAGCCTGACCCCAGGACTCTTGACCCCTTATCTTTCCTCTCTTGCTCTAGATCCCTGCCATCTGCAGGAACAAGCTCCTGTCATGATTCCAGGCCCCTAATCCATCTAATCCCTGATGACAGGTGACCTCGCTGCCCTATGTGGGCTCCAAGGAGGTGGCCATGGTAGGGCAAGCAGGTGCCGCCAGGCCCGTTCCCACGCCTCTCTGCCTCCTGGCACGCTGATTCTCCACTTCCTGGAAATCTGATGCCAGCAACCTCCCGCTAGCATCTCAGTGGAAAGTGTTATTATTGTTAGTAATGCTGTTTGCCTAAAATCTGCCTCTAAAACCTCAAAAGGAAATTCATACACCCAGGGGGGTTAATTGCCTCCTAATTTCTATTTGTGCAGGCACAGGAGGCCTGACCTTGCTCTGCAGAGGTGCTGGTCAAAGGCAGGGCTGGGGCCTCACCCTGGACTGAGGCCATTGGCAACAAATGCTCGCTAACAGCCGTAACCTGCCCAAACTGGGAAAGAACAGCAAGACGGACGGCCTGGGGCTGCCGGCCAGATGGGGCTGGTATCTCCGGCGGGTCACAGCTGGGCTCTGGCAATCTCCTGCAGAACCGAGGGGAAGTGGCAGGAATGTGGGAACGTGAGTGGACACTGCCTGGAGCCCCAGAGCGTCATCTTAATCATGCAGTAATGGAGATCAGTATGCCAGCCCTCCCATTTTAAAGAGCGTGAGATCGAGGCCTGGTCCTGGGGTGGGGCTAAGTGTGAGGTGGGACAGGAGGTGGATGGCAAAGCCAGGCCTCAGCGTAGGTGTCTAGCACGCCCAGGGCCAGGCTTCTCCATGATGCACCAGTCCCCCTAACCCTGGGGAATGGCCGCGTTGGCGGCCCCACTGCATGTCATCGCCTCTCTCCCCTAGCCTGTTTTGTGGAATGGAGGACAGGCTGGGGCCAGGTCGTGGGACCACAGAGCGCTACTGCTCGAAGCACACTTTACGAAGAGAAACAGGGCGCCCCCTGCCGGATAGAGCCCTCGGTGTCAGGGCGGCCTCGGTGTCAGGGAGGCCCGGGTCCCTGCTCCCCCTCCTTTCCCCAGTGTGGTGGCTGCACTCCCAGCTCGGGCCCTGACACCGGAGCAGACCCCGCATCTCGGCAGGCGACTTTGGACCCCAGTCCCAATAACTGGGTCCCTCCTTGCCTTTTTCTTGGCACCCGCCAGTCATTGAACCATACTCCCCTTGCTCCAGGCTGCTACCCTGCCATACTACCTGTCCCACCTGAACCCCAGCCACGTGACAGGCAACAGAGCAGAGAGCTAGCCCAAGCAGGCTGAACTTAGCCTGTGGGGGTCCCACCTCGGGCAGTGGGCCTGGATTACGCCATCAGCTCTACCTCTCAGTGCTGGGCCATCTCAGGCATGTCACTTAATCTCTCAGAACCACATCTATGACAGAAGGGTAATTAGTCGTAATAATAGTGAGGATGAGAATGGTGATAGTTACCCTTGATTGAGCCCCTGTGGGTTGTTGTGAGCACTTTCTCCCCCTAAATAATAATCACCATAGTATCACCGAGCGCTTGCTGTGTTCCAGGCACCATTCAAAGTGCGTTTACACATTTAGCTTGTTTAATCCTGAAACTGATCCTATGAGCTAAGTACTTTATCTCATTTACTCGTTGTAACTACCCAGCAAGGTGGGCTCGCTCTGCCACAATTTAATGACACTCTCACTGAGGCCGCTTTTGAGGAGAAAATGAGATCTTATACATTAAGCTGATGGACACACAGTACACACTTGATAAATGGTGGTCGCTGGTATCCTGACCCCCAGGGTGACTGCAGCACACTGCCCTGCCTTTCCAAACGTGGAGGCGTTCTGGGTCACTGGGTCACCATGGTGTGACCTTTGTTAACAATTAGTGTAAATTTGACTGTGGACTCTACTTCCACAAGGGAACCAGCCGCCCACAGATGACTCCTCTGCCAAAACCACTAAGCTGCACTATGCCAACCCTGCCGTGTGTGCGTGCGTGCGTGCATGCGTGTGTGTGTGTGTGTGTGTCTCAGGAGATTGCCTTTTCTCTGAGCCTGTGTGATGCTCATGCTGGAGCCAGCAAAGGTCCACCAGTGGAGCATTGGCCCGAGGGTGTTCCCAAGGGCACAGAAGGACTCCCACCTAGGAGGGATGCTTGCAGGAGCAAGTGTGCAGCTTTTCTAGGAGATGCTAGGAGCTGGAACACGGAGCGGTTCCTCCGTGAAGGAGGAAGGGCAGGCACTAGCAGTTCTGTGCAGCCCCCTGCACTAAGCCGATCTATCCAGGGGTCTTTGGGTCTTCAGACACAGAATGGAGCTTGCTGAGGGTGCAAACTGCCAGTTCTCAACCACAGTGTGACTCAGAATAGCTCTGGGAATCACTCAAATGCAGATTCCTGGGCCCTGCTATCCAGCGCCTCATTCAGCAGGTTGGGGAGGTGCCTGGGAGTCTGCTGCAGGTGATCCACCTTGAGAAACACCTGATGCAAATCTCATTGTTTCTCTCAGAAGTCACAGGCAGTCAATCAGCTTCCTGCAGAGGACGAGGGTGGGGGGTTGGGGGGTGCGGGGAAGGGTCCTGTGCCCACCATCTCCCCTCTTATTTTCTGTGAGGCCTTGAGCTCTGAGCCTTAGCTCCCCTTTTAATTAATAGGGATGCTAGCATGCTTGTGAACATGCTTTAGAAGCTACGTTTTAATTTAATGTATTAAATATTCTCTATTCTGCTTTTTTCTAGAAAGAGTTTTAAGTGGCTTGCAAAGGTAGTGTAAATTAGAAGTAAAAGAGAAAGAATATTTAAGAACAAGGGGGTCAGGAGTGAGGCCCCAAATGCAAGTCCGTGTTACATGTCAGCCACAAAATGGACTCTAAGATACTGGTTCTCTACTGGGCTGCACAGTAAAATCATCTGGGTGGCTTTTAGGAACCCTGCAACTCCAGCCCCAGCCCAGACTGCTTACATCGGAATCTCGGAGAGTGAGTAGGGCCCGAGCATACTGAATTTTGAGTCCCCAGGGGTTTCGTTGTGTAGCCAGGGCTGGGAACCACTGGTTTCGATGTTATTCCAAATTCTTTTTAAAGGAATTGGTGTGTGCGTGGAGCGGGGGCGGGGTGGGGTGGGGGAATCTGCTCTCGTCTAACGGTTTCTTCAAACGTCCATCTTTGGTGTTGAGCTTTAATCTCAAAAGGCGACTTTGCTAAACGAGAAATGAAAATCGGAAAGGTGTGCCTGGGAGGTGACTGAGACTTTGAGATCTGGGGGGCTCCTTTCTCACCCACGCCTGAGAGTCACACCCTCCAGTTCAATGTCTGAAGAGATGGCACCAACTGGCAAACAGTGAGACCAGCTACTGGGCACTGTTTCTATGCTGTGGATGGGCAGGGTGTTTGGCTGGTAGCTAAGTATGGAATGCCCAGGGAATGTCACATCGAACCCTGAGCAGCCTATGGGAGGGCGGTGTGGAGAAGGCCACTAACGTCACGTGCCCAGGGAGTGAGTGAAGGGCTGGTCAGGCTGTGGGCCCTGCCCGGTGGCAAAAGCTGCTGGAAACTTGGCCTTGACCTTTTTCAGACAGTTCTCAAAAAATGGCCTGGCACCTCTCAGTCTTGGGGGTCAGAGGGAACTTGACACTGGGAATGGAGGGTAAATAAGCAGGGAAATCATTCTGGGAATCAGCGTGAATCCACAGCAGGACACTCTGGGGAGACTTAAACCACTCATCGGGGGAGTTCAGGGAGGACCAGCCTTGCTCCCTGTTTCACTCTTGGGTGTACTCAGTGCGCCGTCTAACTTCCTGTCAGCTGGGGCCAGACATCTTAAAGGCATCTGGGTGTGACCTAAGGATGCCGAGACAGGCCCAGCTCTGCACTCTCTGGCAAGCCCCTTCCCATCTCTGGCTTCGGGTCTCTCTTCTGTAAATCAGAGGTTAGACTAGATCAATGATTCCCCTGAAACGAGGGCTGGCTGTGTCTCGTTGGCTCCAGGATCTTTGCACAGACAGAGCTTGGGTTCCCTCTATCCTGGAGATTCTGGCTCAGTGGTTCCAGGATGTGCCATTTAAAGAATAGTCAAGAGTGACTGTGCTTTAAGCAAGTACAGAGAGGCGCTGGGCCAGGAGAATGCTAAGGGGCAGCCCCTTCCTCTTGTTCATTCTTTGGATCTTCCTTGGGTCAGGCTCAAGATAAACCATGTTAGTTGACTGATGCTGGATCTTTCTGGAGCTGAAGAGAAAGATGCCATCTCGCCTGTCCCCACTGCTGACCCGTCGTTTCCTTCCCTCCGTTGCTTAACTGATAAGCGATGAAATGCACTCTCTCTCCGTAAGCGAGGAGGAGGGCAGACCCTCTGAGCATCTCCTCCGCGGCAGGCACTCTCCTGGGTGCGTCCTTTCCACGTGTACCCATCTCACAAGTCCCTACAGCAACTTGTGAATCGGGCGTGACTACTTCTCATTTTGTAGAAGAGGAAACTGAGGCTCAGAAAGGTTAGGTAACATGCCCCTGGCCTCGGCAGGAATTCAAGCCCAGGTCGGCTGCCTGCGAGAAGGCAGGGTCTCCTCTGTGCCGCATCGGGCATGGGCGTGGGAGGGCATTGGTTGGTCAGTTGTGCGGCCGGCCTGCCGAGCAGGGCCTCAGGCTTCTTATGTGCCCATTTCATTCTCTGAAATGTCACTTTCGCCCCATTTTCCTCTGCCTTAGGGAAGAAGCCAACACCCCCAACATGCACTATCTTTTCTTTCCCTCTCTCCCCGCCGAGGACGGGGCTGTGTTTCCCACAGTGTGTCATCTGGGGTACACGAGGTGGGATTTTTAGGTGAAAAGGTTTTTTTTTTTATTGTAAGTCGATAATTTTAACAATTTAATAGTGTGATAAACATTTCCTTTTGAAAACCAATTTATTTTAGGGGAAAATGTCTTTAAGGGACAATACTAAGCAATCAGAGTATAGATGTCTCGTATCAGAAAGAAAGTCTGTGAATGGTCACAGTTTGGGGAAACACTGGTCAGTTGAATGGAAATTACCAGGCCCCGGGCATTCCCCACAAGCGGCTTGAGTTCCGCCCCCTGGGCACGTCTTCTCTGACCCTTTCAACTAGCAGTGGTGCTGGTGGGTGTTCCAACTAGCCGGGGGTGGGGTGGGTAAGGAGGCCCCGATTTGTAGCCTTCACCAGTTTCTGTGGTGTGAATACTCGCCCCATGGCCAATTTCAGGCTATCAGCGAGAACTAACGGTTGGCTCCTGTGAGCCGGTATGGGCCCGCTCTAGTACATCTCTGCTTCCAGCCCACGCCCGTCTCTCTCCTCTGTGACCGCCATAGGTTCAGCTCTCATGCCCTTCCATTATGTCATAAGTGTGTGTGTGTGTGTGTGTGTGTGTGTGCGCGTGCGCTTACATGTGCATCTTCCCTCCCACGAGACCGCTCCCTGAGAACGTAAGCTTCTCCCATCTCCCTGGAAGTACCCACGCATGGTAAGCGCTCGGTAAAGGCTAGCTATGATTATTGGTGCTATTTGTACTAGTGTAGGTATCCCCTGCATGCTTGCTAATTGCCTGAGATGTTATCTTTGCATCCCTACCAGAAATATCCACTCGTCCAGACTCATACCTGGCACTTTGAATGGAATTCCTATAGACGGGACATTTGGAGTAGTGAGTTCCTCCTGCTGTGTGACCTTGGGCAAGTCACTCGCCCTCTCTGTGTCTTAGCATCCTCATTTGATAACAGTATCTACCTAGCAGATTTGTGAAAAGGATCACTAAAAGCAGAGCTGTTAAAAGGATTAAATCAGTTCGTGATGGAAAGTGCTGGTACGTGTTCACTGTTATCACGTTGCGCTAGGCATGCACTCCAGCTTGCTAACTGCTCGGTCCTTTTTCTTTTGTCCCCAAAGGTGCTCTCCTCTCTGAACTGGGCCTTTCTCCCCCTGCGGGTGGGACATTTGGAGCCCCCCAGTGTGGGTCGGGTGGTGGCGACAGGGCCTGGGCTGACCTGTAGTTGCCCTTTTTGGAGGCGACGTGCAGCGGGAGCATGCCGTCCTTGTTGGCCTTGTTGGCGTCGGCACCCTGAGACAGCAGGAACTCCACCACCAGCTCATGCTCGTTCTTGCAGGCCTCGTAGAGGGCCGACGCGCTGTCGCTGGCCTGCGTGTTGATGTCAGCGCCTGGCGAAGAGGAGGCGGATCGGTGAGCAATCGGGGCGGTCACTGTCCCTGACGTAACCTCCGTGTCGGACGGTGCCAACCACCGTGACACGCTGGGTTATTTAACAACGACCTTTAAAAGTTAGGGTTACGCCCAAAGCTGCCACGATGATCTGGCATTTACTGAGCACTCACTATGTGCTGGGCGCTGTGCTTTGCATGTGCCCTCTTTTTGGATAACCGGCGTGATCAGTTCTGCTCGTACTTCTGTGTTACAGACAAGGACATCGAAGCACAGAAAATCCGTGCAACTTGCCGCAGGCCACCCAGCTCATAAGTGAAGAGCCTGAACTCGAACTCGAATGGTCTGATGGCAGAGGCCATGCTCATAACCCTAACTCCACTCAACAGGATTCAGGCCCTGCACTGAAGAAGGCCCTCGCAGCAGCCCTAATAAAGAAGAACCTTAATGACTTTACTAATTGGGACTGGTACTTCTTTTCCTTCCATTTCCAGGAATAAGAGGAGAATGACTTCCTGTCTCCTCTGAAGAAAACGCCACATCTTGCAGATGGGCGAAGGAATCAAGCCTGGTGACAGCTTCCCTTCAGCCCGATCTCCTGTGCCTGCTCCATCTCCTAGGGGTGATGGAGAGCACTGATGTGCACTCGGGTTTCTCCACAAAAAGAGATACAGCCTGCTGGCCAGTCCCTCCTTCTTCTGGAAGGAAATAGAACTGAGCCAGCAGTGGAATGTCAGCAGGGGCTGACATCAAAAGTATTTGCTATCCACAGCTCCTCTCTCGCTGGGAAGTCTGCTTATCTCAGGCTTTCTGGTAATTTTTAGTTTCTGATAACTGATTTCTGGTCTAGTGAAACAAACACAGGCTTTTGTGACAGGACAGGACCAGTTGAAATTTCTGTCTCATGGCTTACAACCTCCATGGCCTCAGGCAGTTGTTAGGAGTCTCATTTTCTTACCCGTCGACCAAGAATAATAGCATCTATCAGTCGGGGTCACGGTGAGAAGTAATAAATAAATATCTGCTGTACATTGTATGTTTGTGTCCCACCCAAAATGCATATGTTGAAACCTACCCCCCAGTGTGATGGTGTGAGGAGGCAGGGCTATGGGAGGTGATTAAGCCCTGAGGGTGAAGCCCTCATGAACACGATTTGTGTCCTTATAAAAGGGACCCCAGGGAGTCTCTCACTTTTCTAACATGCGAGGACATCGTGAGAAGACTGTAGTCTGTGAACCAGCAAGTGGGACCTCACCAGACACTGAATCTGCCGGCACCTTGATCTTGGACTTCCAGCCTCCAGAACTGTGAGAAATATGCTCCCGTGGTCTATGGGTCACCCGGTCTATGGTGTTGTTATAGCAGCCGGATGGACTAAGACGATCCCCCTGCATGGTGCCTGGCCTAGAGCAGGTGCTCAGCACATGGCAGTTCTCCAGGAGGAGGGGGCCTGAGCACAGGGGCTGGCACTGCTCTCCGCCCCCGAGGGAGAGTCAGCCAGCAGCTCTGACACCAGGTGCTCGCGAAGTCAGGTGCCCTGGAAGCCTGGACGCCTGGACCCTGCCAGCAAAGCCACCTGCTCAGACAAGGAAAATATTTGGATTTGTGGGTGGACACAGCCCACAAAGGGAAGAGACCCTGACTCAGTGTTGGCAGGAGAGCTGGGCAGAGGTTCGGGGTTAGCCGGTTCCTGCCCATTGAGCACCCTGCCCATCGCCCAGCCTCCTTGCCTGGGCTCCCAGGGCCCTGCCTGTGCCCCTTTGTTCTCAAGCTGCTCCGTCCAGTTTCGTCCCTGGCTTTCCGGAAGTGCCTTGGGTCTGTTTCCCTAACCGCTCAGGCACATGCTAAGTGGCCACTTCCCACGGTGGCCATTCTGGAGGCCTGGGTGGTGTGGCAAAGTAGAAAGGAAGTGCAGTTTGGGGTCAGATGGAGGCTCTGACTGTGACCGGTCATTTAATCTCTGAGCCTCAGTCTCCTCATCTACAGAATGGAACGAAGACACTAACTACCTCATGTGGCTATGGAGAAAACCCTGCGGGCCTGACCTGTGTTCGTGCTTCACTCAGGGTCTGGCACACAGATGGTCCTCGACAAATGATTCCAACTCTGCCCCAGGGACCAGCTTACCTCCGGCCTCTCTGCTGTCACTTCTCATGGAGACAGGGGGAAAAAATTAAAGGTGTTCTTGCGGGAGATCAGAAAATAATGCTCTTGACCCAAAAGAATGTCTGCCACTGTCTCAGGGTTTTCTGTTATGGGACATCATAATGCAGACCATATTATTTTATTTTGTTCCTTTAAGTGAACAAAGAGTTTTCACAGGCAAAGAGTGGAATCAATGACTTGGGTTCAAATTCCAGCTCTGCCACTAATTTGCCATGTGACTTTGAACGAATCATTTTCCCATCCCGGTCCTTGGTTTCAGCACCCACAGAGGAAGAGGTGATCTAGAAGTTGTCTGAGGTTCCTTCTGGCCCTGATATGTGACACGGTGGGAAGGGATGTCAGGAGACGGAGACTCACTCCACCGCTAATTTGCTGTGTGAACATAGAGACCTCAGTTCCCCTTTGGGGGCCTCAGATTCCTCATTTGCAAAACAAGGATGTAGAGAATGCAAATATGCGGCACACGTGCCACTCTCCTCCGAATCTGTGCCCAATGCAGGCCCCACTCGTGGCTCCCAACACGTGTCCCGCTGAACCTGGTCCCAGCCTCAGAATGCTCAACACAGCACTGCAAGATGCTATCGCTCGATCGGAGTATGTCCACGAGATGACACCTAAACATGTCACGAGATGACACCTTGCCTTCCCTTAGAGTTGATCTCTGAGATCCTTCCCGGATGTATGCCCTTCGGGGACTCTATGACCCAGGGACCCTTAGCACTCACCATGTTTGGCCAGGAACCTCAGTGCCTCCAGCTGCCCACTCTGGGCAGCTACGAACAAGGGGGTGATGCCGTATGCATTCTTGGCCTCCACCTTGGCACCTCCGCTCACCAGGACCTCCATGACCTCCAGGTCATTGCGGGAAACAGACTCATGCAGAGCCGTCCAGCCTCGGTTGCAGCGATGGTTGGTGTCTGCGTTGTACTGCACCAGGATGCGCACGGCCTCCACGTTCTTGCGCTCACAAGCTGCGCCCAGGGAGAAGCAAGGTGGTCAGCAGGGCCCCTGGCAGGACCTGATCAGCCACGACTTCATTCATTTGTGCACTCGTGCGCTCATCAGCCATCCACTCAACAAATATCCACTGGGGATGCACTCAGGTTCAGAATTACACCTGAGATATACAGAATTACACTTGAGATATACAACTAAAAGTAGTAGTAATACTAAACTCGCAATAATATTTGATGACATGTGTATGGCGCTGGTTATGTGCCAGGCACTCCATTCGAAGCACTTTATATCATTAACTAGTTTAATTCTCTCAACTACCCTTAAAAGATGTATTGTTATTATCCCCTTTCACAGATGAGGAAGAAGAGGCACAGAGTGGTTGATTGACTTGCCCAAGGTCACACAGATAGTAAATAGCAGACCTGGGATTCAAACCCAGGCCATGGGGTCTGGAGTTTCTGTTCTCCGGGATGTTCCAGGGTGCCCCAAACGCGTCTCCCTGCTTCAGTCTTTCTCATTGCCAAGGTCAGAAGAGGAGGAGGAGGAGGACGGAGTCATGTTCCTGCTCAAAACCCTTCCTCAAAGGCTACTCACTCAATTTGGGGTAAAATTTATCTTCTGAGTACAACTTGTCAAGTCTTTCTCAACCTGCCCAAATCTCCCCCTTACGCCTCATCTCTCTCTAGACCCTAAATGTACTTTTGGCTCTGGCCAGAGTTATCACCAGGTAGGCTGGGCACTTGTCCAAATTAACCACCCCTGGAAGCTTCTCTGAGTCATTCAGGGGGATAGTAAGAAGAAGGGGGTGCTGCTCGTGTAATGTTTCAAACAGGACCCCAGGTAAAGCTCCCCACCTCTCAACACCTTGATTTCCTCGCCTGTAAAGCAGAGATAAGGCTGTGGGAGTACCGAGTGAGGCAGTGCATGGAAGGTTCTAGCACTGTGCTTGGCTCATGTTGGAGCTCAGGTAGGACCAGAGTCCGAGGTTCAAGTATGAATAGCTCAGCATCCTGGGGGCTGTCTCTGGGACAGCTGAAGACCCAGGTGATGGCTGTGGTGGCCGGACACATGTGAGTCCTGGCAGACACTTCTGCCTCAGGTCTGCAGTGGACTTGGTTATCAGCTGGCTACCCAGTTTCTGCTGCCTACGGAATGTTCCAGGTGCTAGATACTAGACACATGGGAAATTGGGGATTTCTGTAGTTCTTCAAAGTATAAAAGCCCTCATTTTTGCAAGACCCAAGGCCAATCGCTTGAGCGCATATACATGAACTAGATGCTCCAGGATGTAGTAGTTCAGAGCGAGGTACTGGCATCCCACGCCTTGGGTTTAAGTCCCAGGTTGGCCCCCCGCTGTGTGATGCCAGGTGCCTCATTTCAGGTCTCTGCACCTTAGGTCCTCATCTGTAAAATGGGGATTCTAGCAGTGCCTACTTCACATATAGATGGATACGAGGGTGAATAAATGGAGAGTGCCTGGCATTGAGAAAGCACTCAATAACTGCCAGCTGTGAGGATTATTCACATTTTGACTCTCGGCACTTGCTAGGGTAGCCAACGTCTTTGGCTGATATATTGAGTCAGCCAGGAATTTTGAGTTTTATTAAACACTGCAGAGGTACAAATTCTCTCCTATCTCTTTGCCTTCGCCTATGCTGTTCCCCTGCCTGTCCAGCCAGTAAATCTATCCTGTTCAGGCTCAGCTCAGGCCACCCCTTCCCCTATGTCGGGTCCCCTTCCCCATGCTCCCAGGTGCCTTGAGTCAAGCGCTTTATTGCCCTTAGCTGGCTGTTGTCTATGAGTCGATGCCCACCGGACGGGGCGAGCACTCAGGCATGGACGTATCTTTTCGTCTCTGAGCCCTCAGTGCTCCACAGTATGCTCATCCCAAGAGGACTTGGGAGACGTTGACTGAATATGTGTACTCATCAATGATTCAGCTACCTAAGTGATACATAGAGTGAGGCTGTCTCTTCAAAGTAGACTCCCCGCGGGCACGATTATGCACCTCAGGAGCGATGCCCTCAGTTGCCTTCCTAGTTTCTGGACCCTTCCTCTGGGAAGCCCACCAAGGGGGCTCACCTTTGTAGAGTGGTGTCTCTCGAGACTTGTTGGAGATGTCAGGCTCAGCCCCAGCCTGGAGCAGGGATTGGAGGCAGTCCAAGTGTCCCCTGCATGTCGCCAGGTAAAGGGCTGTTTCCTCCTGCAGGGTGCGCTGGTCGATGGTTGCCGGGTATGCTGCGGGAGACAGACCAGGACATTCATGAAGGAGAAAGATACCTGTCTCCTCCCTAACACAGAAGTAGTCCTGAGTTCCTCCCAATGCCGAGGACAGACTTGTGTGGTATCTGCTCAATTTACCACCCAGACTGCCTTCATCATCTTGGCCCTGAACTTAGTAGCTTTCACAGGGCTGTTTCAGCTTCTTGATCATATTAATCCAGCTCAGGTGCCGCCGCCTCTGGGAAGCCTTCCCTGGTTGACAGTCCTCCTTCTTTGAATGGCCCTGTCCTTTCCTTATACTCCCACCAGCCACCACCGGAAGCTCAGTCTCACGCAGCTGTTTCTGCCATGGAGTGCGGTGTGCTGTCTGGGGGTTCATGCTGCCTGCAGGTGTTACCCATCTATATCTGGCTTGGGGAGAAGCTGAGGCTCAGAGAGCAGGCATGGCTTGCCCAGGCTCCCACAGCTGTGGGGGACAGCCTTGGCAGGGACAGGCACAGCTGCAGTATTTTCCACACCAAATCAGCCCCTGGAACATTCTGGAATAAGCTGGCAGTGGCTCTCTCAGAAGTCAGCTCTCCCTCCTTTCTTTTCTAGGAATTGGTCTCTCCCGTCCTGAGAGGACTGGGGAGACTGGAGAGGGGGGAGGGTGTTGCTGGGGGAGGGGCACAAGTCATTTCTCCGCTCCCAGCCCTGCTCCCCTCAGCGGGGTTGTTGTGGGGCTTCAGAAGGGAGGAGCCTTGCCCTTGCGTCCAGCTCCCACCTCCGGCTGCACCCAGAGCAGCTGCCTCACCTCGTTGCAGGGCCTTCAGGCAGCTCAGCTGGCCGTAGTAGGCCGCCTCGTGCAGAGGCAGCCAGCCCTCCTTGTTAGGCTCTGCGAGATTCCTCCCCGCCTTGATCATCGCCTTCACTGCCTCCTCATCGTCTTCCTTGATGGCCTTTAGCACGGGGTCCATGGGCCTGTGAGAGAAAGGGACAGGCCACGTCTCAGGGACTAGGCAGGGCCAGGCAGCCTCTCTCCCAGAGGGAAACCAGGGCCTACTGGTGGCCAGGAGACGTGCCAGCTGGGGGATCACTGCACCCTGCTTGTCCCCACTGATCTGGGACAGGTGCTCAACCCCCGTGCAGCCGGTGTCCTCTGCAATAAGGAGAATAATCCTTCCTAACCCACATGGGTATGCCCTGGGAACTCAGCCTTGACCTCGGCCCTGACCTTGGCCCCTCCAGCTCTCAGTTCCATCATAGGCTCCCCAGCCTGTCTGCCCGGGTCAGCTTCTCCCTGTCTCCAGTCATAAGCCCTCACATAACCGCTGGTCTTTACATGTCTTTGAACGAATATTTGACCACTCCCTGTCTCTCCTACTGGACTCTGAGCTCCAAAAAGGCAGAGACAGTGTCTTTCTTTTACCCCAGGGCCCAGCTCAGTGACTGGTTCGTAAGAGCTGCTTAGTAAATATTTGCTGCATGAAAGAAAAGGAGAAAGAAAGAGAACCAAAGAAAACAATAAAGGAAGGAAGGAGGACATGAAGGGTGCGAGGATGGAAAGAAGGAAAAAGGAGTAGAGAGGGAGGGCGGGAGGGACTCAGAGCCTGGAACCCCAACGATCATTCACTCCATCCCCTCTATTTCCAACAGAGACAGCTTCTTCCCTCTCCGAATTCTGCCTGTTTCTTCGGGAATTTTACTTATATCTTGTTCAAAATATTCGTTGCCATGGCCTCCCTAGAGCATCTGCGGGACATACTGGCCTATGAAGGTGAGCGTGGGGGGTCTGGACTAAGCTGCGCGGCGTTCGATCTCCCTGGGAGCACCCTAGGGCCTTTCCGAGCCTTTGATCTCCAAGCCCTGTGCTGCGTAGGGAAGCTCTGCGAGAAACGAGTTGACACACGGCAAGCCCCTTCCTTCCACAGGTGGAAACCAAGGGTCTCTTTTAGACAGAGCTTCCTTAGTGGTTGTAAGAGAATTAGGGGACCCTTCTGTCCCTGCGGTTTTCAGTGGCTGCGTCTAATGTTACAGCAAGACCACTGCCACCAAGAGGATTCAGGCGTGCAGTGCCAGCCTCCAAAGGAGTGGAAACCTGAGCCCAATTTTATTTATATCTTGTTCAAAATATTCTTTGCAATGGCCTCCCTAGAGCATTTGAGGGACATACTGGCCTATGAAGGTGACAGTGATAATTGAACACCTTCCCTGAGCACAGCGCTCCAGCCCTGACCGTGCACCTCTACCTCGGGGGCCTGTTTGCTCTTTGAGCAGCTCTGAGAGGAAGATACAGACCCCTCAGAGGAGGATCCTTTCCAGTGAGCATCTCTCTGGGGCCTTTCCGACTCCCCGCCGTGCTCCCGACTCTTATCCTCACCCCCAGAACTTTTAGCTGCTGAAAGACTTTAAATACTTGAAGGATTAATCAATTTGAAGCCTTCACAATCTAAAACTTTGGTATGTCAAAAAGAATTCAGGGCAAATACAAATGATAACGTCTTCGCTTGACTCTTTAAATCCACTCATTTGCTCACTCATTCATTCATTCATTCATCCATGCATGCATGCATTCACTGAGCTCCCTTCCGCCATTCTTTCTTTGCTTGACTCTTTAAATCCACTCATTTGCTCGTTCATTCATTCATTCATTCATTCATTCATCCATGCATGCATTCACTGAGCTCCCTTCCGCCATTCTGAGAGGGTCAGTGAGGACCACGACTGCTGTGACTCCCAGATCCAGTCCTGGGGAACATTCTGCACAAATGGTCCCATTTCGCACATGGATAAGAGAGACAGGGACCGCGCGCCTGTCAGGGGCCGGGATAGGCCCTGAGGGTCTACAGGGCCAGCCTCTTTACCCTCCCACCGCTTCCTCCTGCGTGAGCGGCACTTCCTCCCGACTCTGCCTCTCCAATTTTCAATAGCTTCAGAGCACAGATGCCGGAGAAGTTACAGACCCAGCAAGGATGACGGGTAACTGACCAGATAAGCCCTGAAGTCCCCATCAACGCCATCACTGACACTTTGATGAGTTCTTCTTATGAGAAGCCAGAGCAGCCTTCACTGGCGTCAGGAAAAGTCCCAGGGGGGTATGTGTCTTGTCTCCCTGGAAAGTCTCCTGCGGGATTCCAGCTGAAGTGGAAGGGAGGTGGGCTGGCTGTCCCTGTGGCCTTGGAGAGTGTGCAGTGTCATGAAGACACTCTCAGGACCCGCTGCCCAGCTTGGGTCTCATCCAGCTGTGGTGCAAGGACTCCGGAGTGCTCAGGCACACCCACTGATGGCTTCTCTGTGAGCTCAGCCAAAGTCCCCGCCCTGGGTGTGGGGGTGGCCGCTGGGGTGTCAGGCCATCGGAGACTAAAGAGCTGGACAGGACCCTGGAGGCCACTCTGTCCTCTCCAACCTCTCTCACAGAGAAGGGAGACTCAGGGAGACGCAGCAACTCATGAGCAGCCACACAGGAAGAGGCAGCAGCGCCGAGACCAGAATCTGGGTCTTCCCTCTCCACACAGTCAAAATCCCGCCCGCAGCACCAAGGAAGTGAGGGCGGCAGAGTTTGAAAAGGGTCAGGAAGGAGAGACAAAACGTCAGCCAGCTGCCTCCTCTCCTCGCTGTAACATAAATGAACGAGAAAAGGGGGGTTCCAGCGATGGAGCCCCTCTTTTGCTCCTAGCTGCTTCTGGGGTTAATATGGGAAGCAGAGAGGCAAACGGTACAGAGCTATTTCTCAAGGACACACCTAACCTAGCGCCCTGGTACCAGGCAAACAGAGCCCTCCTATAGCTCGAATTATTTCTGGATTTTAGCACCTGACACTTAGATAAAGGCAACAAAACAAAGCAAGTGTGGCCGTGGCAGGGGGCCGGGGGAACCTGAGACAAACAGAGGGGTGGCTGACTCATCACTCAGCGCTGAGCTCCGCTCGGCCTCTGCCACCTTAGGGCTGTCTCCTCAGTCTCTGTGCTGAGTCTCCAGATTTGGAACCCCGCGGGGCCACTCCAGCACACAAAGCCCATTCTGGGGTCATCGAGGGGTTAATCAAAATTGCAGCCTGGCTGGTAGTTGCTTGAAGAGAGTCTGTGACCACCAAGCCCAGCTCAGCAGGAGCGGCTAGGTCCCAGGAGACACACCTGGAAGAGGTGTGCCTGGGAGGCCCCTCCAGACTGCCCCTCTCCCCTGGGGCCGTGGGCCCGCATCCCACCCCCACCCACACCCACACCCCCACCGGTTGGGAGCCTGAGCTTGGATGGTCTCTGGGTCGGGCGGGGGGTCACTTACGCAGCCTGGGAGGTCTTGTTTCGGTTGTATTTCTGCATGACCCCTTGGAACAGACCCATGGGAGCCGAGGCCGCCGGGTTCTCTGGAGGCGCTCTGGATCTGGAGGGTGCAGGGCAGGAATGAAAGAGGGAAAAATACTCTGCATATGAGAAGCGGGTCATGGCCAGAGGCAGGAACGAGGATGGAGGGAGAGCAAGGGGGAGAGACTGACAGACCGACGCAGGGCACTGAACCAAAGCAGATGGCCGGGTCCTCTCTGTGTGCTGGACACAGCTGCTGTGCCTCGGATTATTTTTGGCCCTCGGAGGAAGCCCTGGGAGATTTAAATGACCATATAAGACAACAGTGAGGTTAACCTCACCCTCACTCCTGCGGCCCCCCTCCCCAGCCAACCGCGCAGGAGGCAGATATGAAGCAAGGTGACATTCTTCGCCCAGGAGGATGTGAGGAGTGTCAGCGGCAGGTCCTCGGATGAAAGGAGCTCAGCCTCAGGGCTGGCCAGGCCGGACCCTAACAGGGATGGACAAGAGCTTCGTAGGGGTGGGGGACAGGGGAGCAAAGCGAGAAAGCCAAGCAGGGTCTGTGCCCCCACCTCCACCTTGCTGGCTCTTCATTAGTGGGGCGTGTGTCCCAGGGTCAGCAGTAAAGAGTATAAAGGTTACAGCCAAAAGATGCTCAGAAAGGTCATCCAGGCCAGGCCTGGAGTCAGACCTCGGGGTCCAGCTCTATGCTCTGGCACTTCCTGGCTGTGTGACCCTGGACAGGTTGAAACTCTCTGGGGTTTAGTCCCTGGAACACCCCAATCTCAGAGGGCTGATGAGGCCGGAGAGAGTGGAGGACGTAAAGTGCCTAACCAAGGGCCAGGCACAGGGGTCTGGACACGTGTCCGCCATTAATTCCACCGTTATTCTGCCTCTCTGAGCCTCAGTTTCCCCACCTCGTTAGGGTCTTTTGACGATGGCAGGGGTGACAGGAGGTGTGGCGGCCACTCCGTGAATCTAGATTGGTTGGGGTTGTGTTGAGGGTTGCGCTTCCAACAGGTCAGGCCCTGGTGCCCCGGGCACCCCAGCGGCCCAGCTGGTCTCCTGCCGTCCTCGGGGGTGGCACCTTGTGGGACTGGGGAGGACATTACTGCTGGTGGCCAGCACCCCGTGGGGCACAGAGGTGCTGGAATGGTGACCCTGAGAAGGACCACATTCTCCAGGACAGGCCAGAAGCAGCAGGCTTTGTGGGTACTCTCAGGGGGCCAGGGCATGGGGGAGGGGGGGGAGGGGCAGAGGGAGAAGGAGGGACACCCGACTCCGCAGCGTCAGCCCATCTCGGGGGGCTCCGGGCCGGCCCCCTTCCTCACCCTCATCACCCTCCTACCTTCCTTCGCTTCCTTCACCTTGTCACTACCTGCTTTCTCCTGGGCACCCACTGGTCGAGCCCCTTGGGCGGGTCATTCATTAGTCCTCATTTGTTAACCCTGGAGGTGGCACCAGCGTCACTGCAGACACGGCTGGCGAGCGGAGCAGCCACCCGCACGGTGCTCCGTCCTCCAGGGGCCTGGTCTTCCCCGCCTCTTTGTCCTCCCTCCGGCTCCAGGGCCTCCACACTGCCCGGCCCTGTGGCTTTGTTAGTCCTGTCTTTATGCCTCTGTTTCCCCCTTTGCACGATGAGGAGGGAGGATCAGACCAGGGGGTTCTTCGCTGCTGTTTAGACGCGGGGCCTTTGCTGACATGAACTCGCTGTGGAAACTCAGTGTGTCAAGCAGATCTAAGAGACCACATCCTGGGAAGGAAGTGCACAGCCCGGTCCCACCAGGGCTCCTGTCCCCTGGCCCCAAAAGCCCCCGGGTTCAGTATTAGTATCTGTGCTTGCTCCTGGCCCTGGAAAGGAGAGAGCGCCAGACAGGCTGCTCTCCCCCGCTGATCCTGGGGTCTCGGCCACCCTCAAAACTGGCCCATGCGTGGCCTCCCATTTTTTAAATAGCACCTGAATTTTATGGCAGGTTACTAAGCTCCAAAGCCCATGACCGTGTTCTGTTAACTGCAAAGATGTGTAAAAGACAAGCAGTGGGTTCGCCGTTCTCGCGTGTGGCTCTACTGTTCGAAGCGTGCATACACCAATAAAGTAAGAACAGACAACGCGTGACGATCCGACACGTTCGGGTCAGAAAAAACAAACCCAAACCTCTTCCCTCACAAGGTTAGTGTTTTTAGCAAGGTAGTAACACTGGTGGAAATCCACACACCACCCCCAAACCAGGCCCTCTCTCTGATGGCATAATAATCATAACAGCAACAATGAGACAGTGAGGCTGGGGAGGGTGGCAGCAAGATGCTGATGTGACATTCCCTGTGATTGTGCCTCACGTCCCCCCTCCCCACTGCCAGGATGGGGGCAGGGGTGCACTGCTCCCACTTTGCAGAGGAGGAAACAGACGAACTGAGTTTTATTCAATAAGAGTGTCCCAGCTCCTGCTCAGCCCGTGCCCTGGGCTAGGGCCTGGGGATGCAGAGCGATGGGGCGCTTCTTTCTGTTGATTCTCGAGATGTCTGGGGGCCAGCAAGGACACGCGAGACCCGCAGAACTGAGAGGAAGGGGCTGGAAGGAGGGCAGGAAGACTCGGTGGTGGTTAACTTGGTGTCACGGGGAGGCAGGGTGAGTGCTCAGAGCTGCTGAGCTGTGAGTCTCAAGCCAGAGGGGGAGCCAGCCCCCTGACTCGGTTCCGTGCTGCAGGCCCTACTTCCCCGCAGGCCCAGAACAGGGGACTTCCTGTGAAGAAAAACCACCTGGGCTGAGTCATCGGCAGCGAGAAGAACCTGGCGGGATGTGGGCACAGGTCATGCCCTGGAAGAGGCCCAGGTTGGGCCCCATCCTTCATGTGGGCGGGCAGGTCAGGGGTCAAAAGCGCAGCACTGTCACCCGGCTCCCATGACCCTGTCCTGGCTCTAGACACTGGTCAGCGAGAGTGGAGAGTGAGGCTGGGATGACAATGACCGCTAACTTCTCAGTGAGCCCTGTCTGAGTTAATAAGAGACTTGGGCCAGCCCCAGGGAGGGGGTTCACTTGGGCAGGACCCAGCTGAAGGCAGGTGGCACAGAGGCATCTTAATGGGTGGGGGTGGGGACGCTAACGAATGTAATGCCCACCGCCGGGCTGGGATCCTGTCTTTGTTCTCTCTTCTGGTCCTTACACCAACCCTAAGTCAAACACAGGCGGCGTGAGTGCAGTGCCTGGCACGCAGTTGGCACCTGATACATTCAAACGCATGAAACAAACAAAGAAAAGCCTCTGAAGGAAAATGTTACACGCGGCAACCTCGGAGCTGTATGGCTGCATGCCAAGACTCGAGACCCCTGGGGAACCAACCACTTGCCCTCAGGGGCAGAGAGAGGGAGAGCTCAGGTGGCATAGCCACCTCTGCCCCCATTCCTGCAGCTCTCTGGGGAGTTCTGTTTCTCCCCCACCCACTGGCCAATCCATCCTTTCTGAGCTGGCCCAAGAGGAATCGTCCATAGAGGAGGATGGGAATTTTAGCTGCAGCAACTTCTGCCTTCCCGTAGCCAAGTTTCTGCTGAGTGCTTGCTAAGTGCCAGGCCTTGTGAAAGGCGCATGGCACAGAGCATCTCATTTCATCCTCCAGTTCACTTTGTGAGGGAGATGTAATTGGCTCCCTTTTGCAGTTGAGGAAACAGGCTCAAAGTGGCTTGCTTCCTCTAGCCTGCTTGGCGAACTCCTATTCATCCTGCAAAGCCCACCTCCTTGCCTAAAGTGCACAGACCCTTCTGTGTCCCTCTGAAACCGAGGCAAGCCCCTTTGCTGCACCCTTCTTGTTGAGTCATTATGTACCTCTGTGCCTTTACCATCACTAGACTGCAGACTTGGGGAGGGCAGGGACCAGGCCTGATTCAGATCCAGGTGCCACGAGGGCACCTGGCACATTGGAAACACACAGCAAGTGTGGGTGGCCCGACTCGAGTTGTTTATAACTGTGTACATATCAGCCCAAGCAAGTTCCTGCTCTACACTTTCCCCTTTGTCTTCTTAGAAACGTAACCTTAAATAAAATGCAGAAGTTCAAAGACTGTGAAGAGCCAGCTTCCTGGACCCGTGCTGGCTGGTGTGTCACAGTCACCTCGGTCTCCCTGTTTCATGAGTGCACGAACCCTACTTCTCCATGGGACGAGAAGTAGGGTCTGCCTTTCGGGGAGCCCTCAGTGGGCCAAGGCATGGCGGACGGTCCTCACGCACGTTCAGACTTCATTTCTTACGTTGCGGTGGGAGAGAAGCCCATTGGAAAATGGCTCTAAAAGGGAGCGTTACATTTTCTCTGGGCTGTTGAGCTGGCTGTCAGTTTTCGAATCCAAAAGACTCGGCTGACCTTTATGTCCGCGGTTGCCATTTTGGTCCCAAGATAATGACAACAATTTACATGCCTCAAGAATTTTATTGCTGTCAAAGTGTATTTATTTGCCCCAAAACATTCACTGGGCACCTACAATGATCCAGGCTCTTTGCCAGGCACCGAGGATATAAAAGTGAATGATATCTGTTCCTTGTCCCCAAGAAAGTCACACAGGATAGTTGGGGACACTCTCAGGACACCAGATAATGCCTTCCGAGGTGACACATGGAATGGCAGTCATGAGGTGGGGCTGGGGTGCTCAGGCCAGAGGCAGGGGGTCAGTCAGGCAGCAGGATGTGGGGAAGCGCTGACACCCACCCTATCAGACTTGCTCTCGTAAGCACGCTGCACGGTGGGCTTGGCAAGTTGGTTATTGCCATTTTAGGGATGAGGCTGTTGGGGCTCAGAAAGGTTAAATAATTTGCCTAAGGTCACACAGCCAGAGGAAGGATTCGAACCTCCAAACCCATTTCTCCTTCCACTCCACTCTGCTGCCTCTTGATTCATTCATGCTTTATCCACCCATCACTCGCTCACAGACAGGGCCTGCCAAGGGCTGGGCACCGTGTGCCGGGCACAGGGCTCCACAGGACGGAGGTGAAGCCCCTGCCCTCGGGAGTTCACAGGTGTATGGCGGAAGCAGAAATTATAAATCGTAGTTAGGGTCTTGAAGGAAACAGCCAAGAGAAGGTGTAAGAAGGGCCACCTACTTGACCTGGGAGGATGGTCAGACAGGATTTGCCGAGGAGGTGACATTTGATCTGAGACCTGAAGGATGAGGAGGAGCCAGCCATGTGGAGTCCCTGGGGACATGTGAGATGTCTTCTTCCTATACCCAATCTGGGTCTACTTGGATGGCAACTGTGATTTTCAGGGTTAAAAGTGAACAAGGACTCCATCGTGTCCTGACTTACTGTGATGCTGTGCTGGGCGTGTGAGCACAGGCCCGCATGTCTCCTGTCTTTGGGGCCCCTGAATCTCCGTGGATGGAGGCAGATGTAATGAGCTCCATACCCCATTCCGAGGTGGAGGTGAGAGAGGACACAGAAAGAGGCCTTTGCAGAATCAGCAGAGCTGGTTAAGGGTCCGGCCTTCAGAGCAGGACAGGCTTTGGGTCAGTTCCTGGCCCTTCTGTGTGCCTGTTTTGCCACGTGTAAAATGGGCACAGAAATATCTGGCTTGTGTGGCTTTGTAAGGACCCAGTGGGAGGCTCTGTGCCAGGCACAAGGGAAGCACAATATATGTAGGGGAAGGGGAAGAGAATGACATTAGAAGCACATTAATGGCATTTCCTTCCCCAGCACAGCCTGAGCCCAGCCTCCTTTCAGAGACAAAAGGCAGAACTAAACCTGAAAGCTTTTGGGTCCCATCAAGAGTGAGAAGATGCAGGCTGACTCCTCCCCGCCACGTACTTGTGCTCTTAGGTGAGGTCCGCGTGACCTTGGGTAAGTCATTTCACTTCTCCTTGAGAGCTTTCGTCTCAGGGGGCTGGATAAATGTTCACGCCCACCCACGGTGGGTCCGTTTCCTTACACACTAGGGGAGGGAGGAGGTCAGGGCTGGACTTCAGGGGCCTGCTCAGTTCTAATGTTTTTAAGTGTCCTCAGGACTCCCGCACAGGGGAGAAGGCTGCGCATGCCCCATGGATGTCCCGGCTGGTGCCGAAGGGCCAATGGGAGGCAGGATGCTCTTCTATCTGATCCCCTCCTCAGGAAGAGGAACCTGTGGCCTGATGCAGGCCAAACAGGCCAGAACAGGAACCAGGGCCTCCTGGAGCACAGGTCACCATGAGTCCTTGGCTCTGGGCTTCTGTTTTTCAGATTGGGTCTCAGAATAAGATGTCCTCAGGGCCAGCTCAGTGACCTGGAGTCTTCGTACTCCTCCCAGCTGCCCAGTGCTACCTGCCTTTTCCTTTAGAAGGGACTCCGTGGTGACACACATCCTGGGCCTTTGCCCAGAGGTGCTTCAGCCTCAGCAAGGGTCAAAGTCACTTGATTTCCTCAGGGGACAGGCTGAGACACACCATCACTTGCCTTCATCCCCGTCAGCTGGGGCTGGACTTCGGAAAATTCTGTTTATAATAGCTGCTGTTGTTGCTATTATTATTAGAAAAGAAACCTTTGGTTCAGAAAGGTGAAGTGACTTGCCCAAGGTCACACAGAAAGTCAGCTGGCTGCTGGAGACAATGAGACTTGAGGCCTATGACCCAAGATAACACTGACATAATCGTTACGGCAATCTCCACCCCCTGCCACCTCACTCCAAATACACACTCGATGGCACTCGGCGATAAGCTAAAGAGTTTTTTAAATGTGGGTATTTCTTTTCTAAAGCCATTTTAAGACTCAATGCTTCATTACGTTTCTGGCTCCCATTTCCTACAAAGAAGCTGTCCTCTAGATCTGTACGGTCCTGCAAGGTGTCACTGGCCACATCCGGCTAGCGGGCCCTTGTGATCTGGCCAGCCTGAACTGAGATGTCCCGTGAGTGCAAAATACACACCGGATTCCGAAGACGTGATGTGAAAAAAAAGAATGTAAACGTCTCTTTCGTCATTTTTATGTTGATGACGTGTGGAAATGATACTGTTTTAGACATAAATCGATCTCACCGGTGTCTCTTTACTTTTTAACGTGGCTATTAGGACGTTCACTATGGCGTATAGGGAATTGCAATTGTGGCTCATATCACATCTCTATTGGTGTGACATGGTGCTGCTCTAGACAGTCTGGCTGCTGAGAGGACGAGGCCGTGCTGGGACGGGGAAGCCGGAACAAGGGAGCACATGGCCCTGTGGGCAGATGTCATTGGCATCTCAGATGCGTTTTCCTGGGGAGGCTGCATAGACAGGGCTGGAGGCTCTGACTGGGCTCAGAACGTGTTTCACTGCATTCAAACAGAAAGCCAGAGGTGCAAGGCCAAGCCATGGGCTTTGGAACCAGAGTTCCGATTTCTGCAACACCATCTACCCTCTGTGTGACCTTGAACTAGTTATTCAGCTCTGAGCTTCAGTTTCCTCATCTGCAAAATGGAAATACAGCACAGAGCTTCCTCAAAGGTCCTTAAGAGGATTAAGTGAGGCAAAGACCTTACAGTACCTACCGCAGTACTTGGCACCATCGGAACTCAATGCGTTTAGACAACAAATGTAAGTCTTTAGGGTGTTAGAGTGCATCCTAGAGACCAGGATGATTTGGTTTTGGATTAATAGTGTTTGGGATCTGCACCTTATGGATGCCCCAGGTGGCCTCTCCTCACTCACCTGGTCCACGGGTAGAAATGGGCAGGTTGGCGGTTGGTGCATGTGGACACGGTGGCCTCGGCCGTGGTTGGCCCCCGCGTCTTGTCAGCCAGGCTCTGCTCAATGGCCATCTGGACCAGCTCATCCTCGCTCATGCTGCTGTACAGGCTGTACTCCTCGTGGCCAATGGCACGCTGTCCGCCCCGAGCGCTGATGTCTGTGGCCATCCTTTTCCACCGCTCGCCCTGGCCTCCAGAAGAGACGCTCAGTGAGGAGGATGAAATAGCAAATCAGAAAACCCTGTGAAGAGACAAAAACCACCCGGGTCACTAACAGTTTTGCAAAATAGCTATGTTCACCCACATGGGAGGCTGTGCCTTTTTCTGGCGATCGCTCAATCAGTTTTTATCCATTCATTTTGTCATATGATCCACCCACTCATTCATCTACACATCCATCCTTCCACTCACCTATACAGCCATTCATCCACCCACCCACCCACTCATCTGTTCCTTTATTCACCCTCTCATGCATCCACCTGTCCACCCACTCACTCGTTTATCCATCCATCCTCTCATCTGTCCACTTATCCATCCATTTATCCATTTAATCATCCAGTCATCCAGTCATGCATGTTCCTATCCATCCACCCATCTATCTATTCAATCATCCAACGTTCACCGCTCTCTCCATCATTCACCCTCTGATCCGTCCACCGACTTAGTCATTTATCCATCTTTCTGTACATCTGTCTATCTAACCAACCATTCATCTTTCCTTTCCAGACAGCCTATCTATACATATACGCACGCATCATTAACTGAGAAATTATTTGTTGAGAGCCATTCTGCTTCAGGCACTTGTGATATAACAACGATTTCGATGGACGAAAACCCCCTGCCCTCACGGAACTCACACAACTCTTACATTCTGTCCTTCCAATTATCCGACAACCCATCCCAGCATTTCTCCATTTCTCTGCATTGTACTAGGGCTGAGAATATTAGAGATGAATCAGACACAGGCCCGTTACTTAAGATCTCATGATCTAGTTAAAATCGATCATTAAAATAATTTGCTGTGTTAATTTCAGGGACTCACTTAAAAAGAAAAAACAAAAACCAAAAAGCCTGAAGGAGAAATGGACTTTGGTTGAGTCAACTGCTTTTAAGAAATGAAGTAAAATCAGCTGAGTCTGATTTTCATTTTGACTAGCTGATGTGCAGGGTGACCGTAGGTCAATGGTTTATAGCTCTGGCTGACCATTAGAATCACATGCGGTCTTTTAAAAACTACCCAAATAGCAGAGCTATAGTTTGGTTTGTTTGGCAAATATTCACTCCTCTCCCTGGAGGCAGAGTATCCCCCGCCCCCCACCTTCTCTCTCCTGAGACTGTACTTGGCCATGGACTTCCTCTGGCCAATGAATGTTGACAGGTGCTTGTGTACTGGGGCTTGCTCTTCTGCCATTACTAGGACTTTTTCCTGGAGCCACTGCCCTTTAACTGGGCCCCAGAGTGGGAACCTACCTGGGGGCATCCTGAGCCCAACCTGCACACAGGAGCGGTGCCCATCGGGGCCTGCAGCCTCAGAGCATGAGAAGAAATGCTTATTCTGGGTACTTTGCTCTGCAGCATTCTGGTGGCTCTAGTTAACCCATACCTAAAAGACTAGGCTGGGCACTTCACAAAGAATATGTATAAATAGCCAATAACCAAAGGTAAGAGTGCTTAACTTCCTGAGCGTTTGGGGGAAATTAAAATTAAGACCCCAATGCAATACCGTTTACATCCATCACAATGCCTTAAGTGAAAAAGATGGGACATAGCAAGCATTGGGAAGGATGTGGAGCAACCGGAAGGCTCACCGCCATCGGTAGGAGTGCCAAGCCATGAAAACGCTTCGGAAAACCAATGGCATTTGCTAACGTCAAACATACCCATGTCCTGCTAGCTCTATGCCCAAGACAAGTATGTACATACGGTCACCAAAAGACAAGTTCAAGAATATTCACAGCGGTGCTGTGCTATTTGTAATAAAAGCAACTGGAAACTCCCCACGTGTCTATCAACCTTCGAACGGATTACTACATTCATGAATATTCATGTGATGGATAACACGCACCGACGAAGCAGACAAACTACTGCTCCATACAACAGAATGAATCTCACAAACCACAGTGAGCAAAAGAAGTCAGATAACAAAGAACATCGATACGTGATCCAACTTATATAAAGTTCAAGAAAAGGCAAAACTGTGGTGATAGAAGTCAGAATAGTGGTTACTTTTGGGGGCACTATAGATGCTGGTGCTGTGTGACCTCAGCCAAGTCCCTGTCCCTCTCTGGACCTCAGTTTTCTTAGTACAAAAGGAGGGTTTGGGCTAGAAGGTATCGAGATGAGCGTGGTCCATGGGGAAGTAGGGACCCAGGCGGGAGTGGAAGCATCTTAGATATGGACATCAGGGACCTTGAGGTCTAGTTTCAGTTCTGCAACTTCCTAGCTGTGTGACCAACTCACTTCCCTTTTCCGGGCCTCAGTTCCTTTATCAGTAAAAACGAGAATGAGACAGACCGCTTCATCCTGTCGTAGTAGCGATACAACGTGGGAAGCTTGTAAGGGGTAAAGCAAGAAGTCGACGGGGACCCCTCCAGTCCTTCACCCCAAGGCAGCTCTTGGCCCTGCAGCCTGGCGCGGACTCATCAGAGGCTTATGCACAGCACGCAGCTATGGCGCCCTTCCCTGACAAGATGACCCTTCCCTGACAAGATGCCTAGGCGATGGGACAGCCGATCTCCTGCAGCCACTTCTAGACTCACAGACCCTCCCCCATGGGTCTCATGGTATCCAGAGCTTTTTCTATTTGTCAATGACTTCATGCTATTGCCCTGACAGTAGCCCTAGAGGGGAAGAAGTTTTTTGTTGAATTAACTTATTAATTCTCAAACACCTCTGCTCCTTCCACAAGGACTTGTTCCCATTTCACAGATGAAGCAGTTGAGGTTCAGGGAGGGGAGGGAAGGGTTGGCAGGAAGACAGAGCTGGAAAGTTGGGATTCGGAGGCCAGGCTTCCTAACTCAAATCCAGCGCTCCTTCTGGGGATTCTGGGAACACCGATCCAAGTGGCGGGCGCACACGTGAGACCTGAGCAGGCGGGGTTAATAGTGCCGTCCTCACCCCGCCCGGCCACCCGGTCTGCACCTGTGCGGTGGGCACTGCATCAGGTTCTCGTTCTCGGCCCACGCAGATGGGCTAGGTGGGGGGTTGATTTTGAAGGAAGCTGAAGGGAGAGGGTCTCTGCCATTGAGAAGGAGAACTCCCCTACCCCATCTCTCGCTTTCCCCACTGAGATCCCCAGTTTTGAGGGTCCTTGAGTAAGTTGCCCATCTTTAGAATCTAGTAAGTGTTGTTATTAGGGGTCGGTAGTAGAATCGAAAGGGTTCGAGTGTGCACAGGCTTAGTGCTGGGCCTCGTGCGATACCAAACTACTTCGGGAGGGGGCTCCCCATCACTAGGCCTATGCAACGATAGGCTGGGGATGCCTGCCAGGGACTCCGGAGACCTCTCCCCAGGGGCAGGTGGGGCAGTTCAGCCTTAGCATGAGGGGGCAGGAGGGAACAGCCTGTAGGGTCAGCGCGACACTTTCAAATCACCTTTGCCAGTTATTAGCTGTGCGACCTCTTAGAATCTCAATTTTTCCACCTGTAAAATGGGCCTAATAGGAGCAGCTATGTCATGGCAAGGTGAGGGTGGGTTGGGGGGTAGAGATCCTGGGCGATGGCCTGCCCCTCTTTTGGCCTCAGTTTCCCCCATCTTCATGCTGCACGGCTTGATTTCTGCAGCCTCTGCCTGGGAGCTGGGCCAAGTTTTAGGCCTGAACCTGGAGAGAGGCCAGCAGTCTCAAGGGGCCCTCCGGGAGGCCGACTGGAACGAAAAATAGCCTTTCCCAGGGAAAGCGGGAGCGTGGAGGGCCTCGCCCAGCCCAGGCCTGCAGGAGGAGCGGAGCTCCGGGCCGGCGGGAGCAGGCGAGACTGGGGCCTCCAGGGGCGCCTCTTTCGCTTCCTTTGCAGCACCCCGACACGGGCTCCAGGGGAGACCCCGCCCCTCCCAGGCGGCATCTGTAAAATGGGGATAACGGTGGCCGTGCGGGCGAAGTGCTCGGAACAGCGCTCCTCTAAGTGGGGCCTCGGCTCTCGCATCTGAGAAATGGGCGGAGACACACGGCCCCCTGCAGGGCTGCGGCGAGGACTAAATAATGGCATTTGAAGGAGTGGTCCTTCCCTCCCCTCCCCAGAAATCCAGGCTCACCGGGGAGCTGGCAGTGGGGTCTGGCGCCAGTGGATGAGGCGAGGTCTCTGTGGCTGGCTGGGGGGCTGCAGTGGGAGAAATGACTCCCTGGATGTCTTATCAAAAAAAAATTGGGGGAGGGAGACAAGGCTGGGAGGGCAGGGGGACAGGGAGGGGACCGGCAGCCATCCTCCAGCGCACCAAGCTCCCCGTCAGTCAAGGACTTGGGTCAGGAGTGTGACCCTGCCAAGCCACGCCCCGTCCTCGGGCGGTTTGCAGATGGAGCCAGTATCACTGCTCATCTACTGTCCCTTGCCTTGCCTCCCCTTTCCTTCCCTTCCCTGCCTCCATGCCTGGCTAGTCACCCTCACAGACACAGTTCATGCGTCTCCTCCACCAGGAAGCCCCCCTGACTGGATGGCTGGGGTGTCCTGAGCTGCCTCCAGGGGCACCCCTCACATTCTGTTGCTTTAACTGTCTGCTCTGGGCCTACCTCCCCATAGAGTAGGGAAACTTCTGATGAGCAGGACTGTCGCATTCACGGCATAGCCGCAGGACATGACCCAAGGTACACAGCAGATGTTTAATAAATGCAGGATGGACAGGTGAATGAATGATAGGGTCAAACCTTGGAAGCACAGCTGTCATTGAGAAGATTACTGAGCGTCATAGATAGCGTGGCCGCTGGTGTCTGACTGCCTGGGTTCCCCGCTGGTTCTGCCACCTACTGGCCGTGCGATGGAAAGCAGGTTACTCTCGCCTTCTGTGCCTCACTCTGCCCATCTGTGAAATGGAGATAATAAGAGCATATGGCCCTGGGGGGTTGTCAGGTGAAACACGGTAAGGTTTGTAAATGCAGAGCAGGGCACTCGGCACCCAGCCGGTGGCCCGTGACCCCCTGCTGATATTCCGTGGCTCCCAAGATGCTGTGATTCTCTGCT